TCAGCCACAAAGAGTGTGCACATGAAGCTACTCAAGAAAAAGTGGCTATTGCCTGTGCCCCTGCTCCCTGTGTAGGGTACAGATACAGGTATAGAGTTTTGGGCTATGACAGCCACAAATTTTTGTGCTCTGCATTTTCTCTTGCTCTGTGTAGTATTCTGCTGAGAGAGGATGACAGGTGTATTATTCTTCACAACCCTGGCACCCCGCTCACCAGCTGCTGTGGAAAGGGCACGGCCAAAATAAGAATTTGTTTCTGTATTTAGCTGTGCATGACCTGACATGCACCCAGGGTCAAGAAACTTTGTAGGTCACATTGGAACAAGAGCAGACCCTGAGGGTTAATGTCACTTGCAGTAATTGGTATTATCTCTGGGGATTTAGTGCAGTACTGTAGTTGGGCGGACCTGACAAATACAGAGTAGCAACTGACTGAACCATTCAACCTGGTTTATGGTTTCCTTATGTTTAGCGGAAGGAAAATGCTATGGAAAATTGAACTGAGTGCCACTGACTTCAAATTTCCTTCGATGTCATCCTGTTTTATCCTCTTTCTTATCCAGTCATTACACCATACAGCTGGTAATGGGGTAGTACAGCAACTGTTTACAGCTGCTGGGACTCTTAATTTACTAATATTTTTATATGTTTTCAAGTGAGGGCTGTATATTGGTTCTTAAATGCAACACAGTGTGTATGAATGTTGTTTTTCAGTGTGCCTAATACAAAGCATTAGGATAGTTAACACCTCTCTTTTGAAAGTTCAAAAAACGTTTTGTCTTCTCTGAATCACCCAGGGGTTATCACTACAGACCCCTTCTGGAGCACTTCTGAGCCTTCACCTTTTGGAACAGTAACAAGTACTCAGAAGGCGGTTTACACTGTATTTCCTCAGATTAGACATGACGTGCAAAACTGAGAGGTCAGCTGGAGAATCATGCCTTCACCTCCAGCTCAGGATTTCACTGGAACTGTGCAAAGTGCTGGGGTGAATGTACACAGAGAGAAAGATCTATTTCAAAGCACTCTCTCAGCCTCAGGACTGGTAGCAGCCCATGGTCTCTTTGCCTGACCTTTATTTTCCCCAAATGTACACGTGTACATACAGAACTTGTTTCTCAGTCATTATGAAACAAGGTTGTGGAAGTGCTTCAGGATGTGATCCTAAACCAAACAGCCCTGGGAACTGACTTGATCCAGTCAAGTGAGACTGTCCTAAACCACAACTACCAGCAAATAGCCTTCACATGATGAACAGTCAGAGAGCAGCACACAAGATTACTTCCTCTGATGTTTTGCTTATGGAAGAGAGAGAAGGCACAGAGAGACTATACTGGAGAGTTCCTGATTAGGAAAGCATCTGGTTCATAACACAATGGAAACCTCTATGAGGAGCCTTTACCTGAGCTATGACATCTGAGATGGAGGCACATCCCACTAGGAAACTGTACTTGTGTTTCAGCAGAATCCCAGCATGGGTCCATGCCTGAAAAAAAGACAGAGAAAAGTTTGGGAAGTGATTATGATATCATGAATGATTTCAGGTTTAAGAATGCTGTTTTCTTGTTGTTACATTGTACACAACCAACCTGCAGCAGTACCTGGTGTGAGCCTGGGCAAACAATAAGCCATTAATGCAGAGAAAGTACTGTTGCACTGAATTCTTCATTGCCAGGCTGGCAGGGAGAATAGGGATAAATTTATAGACTGTATAGAAATTTGTGAGCACATCCAGTAAGAAAGAAGCCCTTCACAAATCAGATGCTGCACAGGATGAATTATCAGAGTATATAATCTAATAAATAATCATTCATCTGCTGAATGCACCTCTGAAGTGTAATATTCATTGACCCACTGAAATATACTGAGTCCTGTCTGGAAAAGAAAACCAACTTCTTTTTAATGATCCAACTTCTTTTTATTGTCAATGGCTGTTTCAAGCAGACAAAGTGGTGAGAAAGTGGTGGAAGTATATGCATGAGAAGGTTCTCCTTTACCAGTTTTACACACAGGTAGAGGCATTAAAGAGAGCTGCCACATTTTCATGTAGTGCAGGCCACAAGCAATGAGCCTGGTGATCTGGGAAGCAGCAGCTCTCCCCATGTGTGGCTCTCTTGCCAGAATTTGAGATGTACTGAAGTTAGCTGTGCTTGCAAAAACTGATGGTAAGACATATCTTTTTGACAAATCTGCTTTGAGAAATTATTGATTTTACTCCTTGAGAACTCTGCAGGTCTGGGAATGCAAGCAAATCCAAATCTTTCACCACAAATCAGAATGAGGTCACATACAGACAACCAGTGCAGCTCATCACAAGACGACCAGTGCTTTCCAACATGCATATACTGTAACTCTGACAAGGCAGCTGAGGTTTTTGACATTTGTCACGATCTCTGGATGTTTAAAGTCCATTCAGATGCTTTCTCCATATAGCATGATATGAGTCTAGGCATATACAAAATTATTGCTTGCAAAGGACACATCTTACTTCTGAATACTTCAGTTTCCCATCAAGTAACAAAGTTTGCAAACTAAGGTCACAAAAACATAACATTAACATTAAATTTCAGTTCTGAATCAGGCACTCACCATGGCATCCATAAAAGGGAAGGCAGCAAGATAAAGGAAGGCCCTCCGAGTTTTACTTCCCACTGATTCATCCACATGGTGCAGCTTATTAATAATGTAATACCCCAAATCACTGTATGCTGTAGAGAAACAAGATAAGAATGAAAAACAAAGGTTGCATATGGACTCTTGGGTGTGATATTCAGAAGTACCTAAATGACTGTAATGCCTTGGAGCTCAGACACACATCCACCTAGCAAACAGCTGCAAGGGCTTCAGATATTGCAGCCTCACCAGCTGCTGTTTATGACTAAGAAATGGTCTCATGGTTCTTTTTTAAGTAACCATTGGCAGAGGTGTGATAACAAATGGCTGGACTGGGAGATGAGTACAGTAAGTGCCACATCTGTTTGCTAAATGAACACACTAGTACTCCGGAAAATCTACTGCTCCTTCATTAAATCAAGGCTCTTTGTTAGAAAAGCTTTTTTACCAAGCATTGTGTATTTCATGGGATATAGTGCCTTATAAATGCTGAAACCATCTATTATCACTGCATTCTCATGACATTACCTGTACACCTGCCCAAAGCTCTAAAAGGATACCGTGATTTGTGATGGCATGCAACAAATCACACTCATTATGTCTCTCCCTTGCTCTGCCTAATGACCACCTCTGCCAGGACCTGTCAGGACACTGTGCTTTGCTGTGCAGTCCCTGGGCAGCCTTGACATGCCTTAGGTTCCTTCCTTATCTAGACCCAGCACCTCCAGAGCTACAAGTCAGAATAGGGCACCTCTGGAAATCAGGGCAATTCCACTTCTGACTACCAGCGTGTTCTTCACTGTCCTGTTTCAACCCAAGGCAACTTTTAGTGCTGGACAACTCTGTCTTTCCAGGCCTCTTTTCACAAAGTACTGGGTTGAAGGCTTCACAGACACAGGAAGTCCCCACACAGCTCTCTGCAGAACTGCTTCAAGTTCTGTTTGTATCCATGTTATCTAGCTGTTTTAAAAACCCCAGAATCCTCCCAATAACCAGGAATAACAAAGGTTGTGACTGGAGTCTGAACTATGGAGACAAATATAATATGCAGAGGTAAATAATCCTAATCAGTTTTAACTTTTTAAAAACTATGTTCTACACCTGCACATCATTACTTGATTTCCTCTATACACTTGCAATAGCTGTTGAAAGAATTATTAGTCTGTAAGGCCGATCTCCCTTAGGAGAGGGAGTAATGGCAAGTAATGGCAAGTAATGGCAGAATTATTTGTGTCTGGGGAACCTTATTTCAGTTCTCTCTTACTTGTGTATTTTCTAAGTTAACTATTTAAAATGTGGACATCTATCTAATTTTCCATTTATAACAACACTATTATCTTTGTACAAATCTTCATATTGGGTATATAAAGGAGAGATCCTTTTCATGCATGCAGGTCTCATAACTGGATTGACAAATGCTAACATCAGTCATCAGATTCAATCCTCTTAGCCTAAAACTGCCTTTCATAATTCGTAAACAATATTTGGAAGCAATTAAAGAGGAGTTTAAGTTGTCATTGTTTTGTGATGGCTTAGAGATAGAGCAGTTAAATGATTAACAGAACTGAAAAGACTATTTGAGTCCAAATAAGAGTGTAAACAAGATAGTAAAATAAAAGAAGGTGGTATGACAGCACTGTGAACAAGCACAAGCCTCATTCTAGATAACCAGGACTACCCAAAAGATGCCAAAAAAGCTAACAACTCCCCCATTCCCTATGTTGGTCCCTATCTATATGTCTTTCACACGAACTATGACTGTTAGACTCACAGGACTCCAACATTTTTCAGTTCTAAGAAGGCAAATTAGTCCCCTAAGTGTTCAGGTGCCTGTTGCAGTTCAATCAAACATCAAAAACAGCCTCTTTATATTTTTGCATAAATAGCCATGTGCCAATCTTCCCTTGGTGTTTTGAAAACTCTCTGCTACTAAGGGTTTTTTGTGTGGTAAGTCCTTGTGGAAAGCTGCTTTTATGGCAGGGCAATACAAGTTCCTGAATCAACTTATTTCACTGAAGGGAAAAATTCTGGAAGGTCTGTGAGGCAAGCCATGTGGGAAGGTCAGATTGATTGAACTTTCTCTTAGGTTCCATTGAGTGTGCTTTACACTTCTGCACAAAAACTTAAAAACCAGTGCAGGAACACACCACCTTATCCTCCAGGTAAGGACTGAGAATCATAGCCCACGTGATGAGGAACCTGCTTCTGTGGAAGGGCTACCTCCAGTAGTGCAGTGCTAGAAGCACAACACACTGCAGAAGTCACCCTTCCCTGCTCTCCCTCTCCTTCGTCTGTTTAAAATGAGACTTTTACAGTATTTAGAATGTGAGTAATATGTAACATTTTAATTTCAAAAGGCCATTGTGGTTTTGGTTTTTTTTTTTTAACCTAAAGTTTACTATTACAGAAAATGTCGCAGAATCAGATGGTCAAAGGGTGAATACTCTCACTTTTAAGAAAAGAGTAATAGTTTATTGGCAGGGCACTCTCAAGGCACTTATACCACTACAACTCATAGCACCCATGTTCAAGATTTCTAGGGATATCAGCACTGAGCTTGAACATTTTTTTTTCCTGCCCCTATCAAAAAAAGTTTAACTGCACTTTTTAATATGATTTTGGTTTTAAATTAATAATGGTTAAACTTATTATTTTGAAAATAGTCAACTATTTCATATGCTAGTGGAAGTACACAATCACTTTTGCTGATGTCCATGAATGTTCCTGTCCTCACAAAGAAGGATTTAGCAAGCTGAGATTCACTGACACAGGCATGTGTTACTGAGCTATGAATCAAGCAGTTGCTGATGCAATTAGAACTTAACCTTGGCCAACCTTACAAACTTATTATGAAGAATGGTACAATATTAGTAACACAGACAACATAGCCAGAGAGTATTACATGAATCTAAAGCAGATGGCACTTCCCACATCTGGCATAATTTAAACTGAAAGTCCAAGTCCAAGACAAGCTGCCTATTTGCTCTTCTCTAATACCTCATTTGGTTTTTTATGTCTAAGGATCAGATTTGCTACAGAAGCTAAGCAGGAATTCTTGCTTTTGGTTTTTCCAGTTTAAAGTGTGTTCTTTCTAGACACATTCCATTTATATATTTTACTGCCAGTTTTAAAAATTAACTTGAGGACTTGAGACTCTATTCTGCTGCTTGTCAGAAAGATGATTCACATGGCTAAAACTGATGCTCATCAGTTTCTCAATCACAGAATATTCTGAGTTGAAACAGACACACAAGTACCAAAAAGTCTAGCTCTTAAGTGACGGACCAAACCCACAACCTCGGTGTTATTAACACCATGCTTAATGCACTGAGCTAATTTGTTCAACTAAGTGATTTGAGCAGATAGGAAAAGACCAATGTAAAAATACAATAGCAAATCTTCATTTGGAGATGCCACAGGGTATGTAGATTTCTTTATGTTTTTGGTTAGCTTGAATTTAAAACAAAAGAGAAAGCCTCTGTTTTCCCCATGTGAAAGCTCAGATGAGTTTTTAAGCTGTTGAGATTTTTCTTCTTTGCTTATTATAATAATACATGAATTAAAGAAAACCAAAACAGCTTAGGAGCATCTCAGCAAAGACTGATTACTGCAACCATATTTTTCTGTGCTTGGATCTAGCTCCAAAATTACTTTAGTTGATTTTTCCCAAATCTATGAATGACTTTTAGTATATGAAATATCTTCATATAAGCCAACATTTTATAAGTCTCAAAATTATCCTGTTTTAACTGAGACACAATCACTACTATCCAGAAGTGCTTTGGTCATAGGCTTTCTTCCTTTGTCCTGAGTACCTTGTTGAAAAGAAACTGCCTTTATTGTGGGCAGAAGGGTTGGGGCAGCCAGGAAAGCATGTTACTGCTTTAGCAATGACCATATCGAAGTAGGACAAATTTTTAATGGATTACATTTTATTTTTATTTAGAGAGGAGGGGGATGGGGACAGCAGCAAGCCCAGATTAGATTCTGATTCTGTCCCTTTTTTCCAGGGCAAAATTTTTAGTATACCCCAGTATAGTGATCTTGTTGGAACAAGACTGACTAAAAAAAAGTACCTCATCTTGTCACAATCCACTCTGTAATTCCTAGTCTCTGGACAATTCCAGTAGTGTTACACTGGAACTGGTGGGATTACACTTATGTCTCAATTCTTATGGAGATTTTTAATGTGCATGCAGTGATCATGCATGTGCGAAGCTCCAAAGTATCAGTGGAATTGCTAGGAACTGCTGAAGTTTTCCCCTGTGCAATCTATGGCCCGTGCTCAGCAGCCTGACAGCAATAAATGGGCACAAAACAAATCACTCATGTGTGTTGGCCATCCAGTCTGCTATAGATTACTGCAAAAGTTAACCTACACTTAAATTTACTGGTTCCTAAAGTTCCAACCTTTTTCTCCTGGTGATGACAGTGATCCATCATGTAATTTTTAATCAAAGACAGTAAAAAGCAAAGAGGATATTTCCTCAAAGTAACTGCTGCCCTGTCATTTCTGGAACAACTGAGAATTACTCAAAGGGAAATAAACTTTCTCAGTATACTATTTCTCAGTAAACTAGTGAAAAGTTGAACAATGCTGTTTTATTGCCAAAGACAATGTGCATATTCTTCATGACACTGATGTTAAAAGATTCACTTAGTACAGAGGGCTTACCAGCAACACTAAGAAATTCATTATGTTAGCATAATGTTATATAAATGACTTTTCTCCTCTGTCAAGCTGGCAATTTAGTAAGATTTCAAAAATATGCAGAGACAGGCTTAGCATGTTGAATCCCTTTTCTTACAGCCACCAAAAAGCCAATCTCTGAAGTAACAGGACACTTTAAACCCTGGCTCCATAGTGACCTTCCCTCCAGGAGATTAACTGGTGGCAGTAGCTGCCCTCAAAGTAGCCCAGGGGAAGGAAGGCAGAGTACTATAGTCCAGATCACACCTGAAACAACCAATCCAGGAATACTGTACTGACAAGGTGTACAGCAGCATTGCAAGCAGGATGAGAACATGGCTTTGAATCCCTTTGGCCAGCTTGGTTCTCAGTTGTTACTGCTACCTGTACAGGGGAATGACAGGAGCTGCTGCTGAGGACTTTGCAGACCTTCATAAGGATGTGGCTGGGTGATGACTGAGGGACCCAGAGCTTGAAGCTGTGAGTTCAAGTGCTTCAGCTCAGCCAGTCACTGGCACAGAGGATTGAGTGAGCCCCAGTGGGGAAGCAGCAGTGGGAAGCTGGTGCTGAAGCAATGAACATGAGTCAGGCAGGTGAAACGGTCTGGTTTGATATTTTCCATGAGTAGAGGCCACTGTTTGTGAGGAGCTGTGTGTGTAGACTGCAAATAGTCTCTATCGCAGTTGGAAATGTGGTGATTCATTGTGGTTACTGTGTTTCTTCCTTTTGGTACTCCTTATTTCATTGGGCTTTTTGTTTTCTGTTTCTTCCTGGGCTTTGACAGTCCATGGCAGATAGACGTATCATCTTCCTTAACCCTATATTTATGGCATGTGGAAAAAAATTCAGTCCCCTAAGTGTTATTTGTTTCTCTTTTTCATCCACCAAGAACCAGTGACCTGTATTTGTGTCTCTTGTAGCTAGCCTGTGATAGGCTTGCAGCTGCTGGGGAGTGCTTGCAGGTCCTAGGAGGCTGCCTGTCACTGGTCTCCTTCTCCTCTTCCCGCTAGGCAGGCTGTGTACCTGTGGGTCAGAGCAAAATATTCAGGACTTAAAACAGGTTCAAAGGAAACTTGAAACATAAAATTTGGCAACATCACCCAGGCAATTGGTGCTAGAATCTGACTAACTCCATTCCCTCAGGCGCTCTGCTAGTCTCTGCTGTGGCCTTTGCATATTTTCAGGCATAGACAAGTTAAAATACCAAAAAATATTTTGCAGTCTGTTACCATAAAATGCTGAAAGATTGTGTTCAGGCCTTTAATTCAGGACTATAAAGCATGATAAGCACAGACTCCTCTTTTTCCCCAGTGTCTGCAGACTGCATTTCAGAGGTTCTGAACTAAGCAGGCTCTACTTCCAGGCAAAGGCAAGAAACTCAGCTGACAGGTTTTCCAACTGTTGTTCCAAACACCTCCTTTCAATAAGATGTCCCACATGGAAAATCCAGTTATGTCTTTCACCTGGAAATCTGATAGTTACACTTAAAACTTTCTTAAAATCTATTCTAGCTTAAAATAAAATACTGTATGACTAGAAAATAATTTTTTATCCAGCTGGCAAAGGCAAAAACTGTGACCAGCACTAGCAGAAAAGCAAGTGAGCAACTAGAATAGCAGCTCTAGGGGATAAAGAAACATTCCAAGCAAAGAAATATGAGAGCCAAATGTACAAATGGGCCAAAAATTTATAACACTGACTCAATAAAACAGCTTCAAATGTAAACATGTTTAAGAAGTGACCAGTCGAAATCAGTGAATTATATTAACTTGAATACATAGATTCAGCTTATAAAATTAGCAATATCTAATCCCTGGCACAGAGTTGCCCTGGCTAGTGAGCCATACCTGTAGGCATTTTTTATGACTGTAGCATGGAGCAAAGCTAAATAGCACAGTGCTTGCATACCAGTGGTGGAAAAAGAGATATGATGGTCAAAACAAACTGTAGTGCTTCGGAGGCACATAATGCTGGTGAATATAGCTGGAAGCCAGTTAAAGGGTAAGAGCTGGGGGCATTTGTATTTACCAGATAGATCTTGTACCTTCTCAGGCAGTAATTGAATTAGTCCTATTCTATTCTATTCTATTCTATTCTATTCTATTCTATTCTATTCTATTCTATTCTATTCTACTCTATTCCATTCCATTCCATTCCATTCCATTCCATTCCATTCCATTCCATTCCATTCCGTATGATGAACTGCAGTACCTGTTGCTCTTGAGATACTAACAGCTTGATAATGAATGCTGCTCCCCTTTGAGACCACTCAGATTTCACAGCAATTCAGGATATTGTCATTACACTTGCATTTCCCATTTTTCTGTGATGGAATGACACCCTACTGGTGCTGATCCAATCCAATGCCTGTCAACCAACACATGCCTCCAAAGGCTGTCACAATTACCTCCTCCCTCCCACCCTTTACAACTCTCATCTTTCTAGCATTTTACCTGCTCAATGCAGTGCACTGTCTGCTTCTTCCTCCAGAATCTTCTGTTCCTTGTTGCTATGGTCCAGAGGTTTCAGCTCCGTAGAATGAGCCAGAAGGTGCAGAGAATCTTGCAGAGTTCTTGGAGAGGATGAAGTTAAAAGTCTTCCAAGATAAATGGCTTTTATTGCATTGGTTGATGCTTGAGCTGATATCCCATTTTTGTAGGCTCTCAAAAACTGGCAAATCCTGTGGCTGCCTTTTTTAATCTTCACTTTGTGTCTGCTTGTGTATTTTCTTTGAGTACAGTCAGGGAGCTGGTCTCAGTTTGGTATAAATTGCTCTTACTAACCTCTTCCTCACGGATTAATTATTCAACAGAACTGGATGATGTCTAGCAGCATTAGAGAGTACTACCTAATAGTTTAATGAGGATGCTGGCTCCTGCCTGCTGACTTTTGGACTGTGAGATAAGTAGCAAAGGAATAGGTACAGAGAGAGTACACCAACAATGCCACCAAGAACTAACAAACAGCCCTACCAAGCACACCTTGTAGTCCTGCCAAACCAACCCAGCAGATACTGCTAGCTGATCATTACTACCTAACAGTAACACTGAGCTAACAGCTTCAGGCATCCTGTCAACCTTGTCAAGGTTTTGCTCACACACCTGACTGAAAGAGATTAGTAGTATGTTTTGTTTCCAGGCAGGAGAGACCTGTGCTTGGAATCTGCTCCTTAATAGCCTGTTTAAAAAGCAATAAAAATTGCGTGGATGGGCAAGATACCAGCCCAAGAGAACTCATCTCTTCTGCATCTCCTGTTGTACTTACAAATGAAATCTTAAGCCTACAGCTTAAGCAGTTTGAAGAATGGGTGAGGGAAACAAATGAAAAATCATTAGCTAGATGTGACCTTACCTATTAAAGTATGAAATACAGCAGCTACAGCGCCAGCCACAACCATGCACAAAACTGCTTTGGTCCTGTCTCTCTTGCTGTTCACAAACACCAGACCTACATTTTTGAAGTCACTCATCGGACCCGTGAAGAACTTCATCAGGGAGTATGCCAGCCCATAGCTGGCCAACATTTCCACAGCATCTTCTTTGACAGCAGCAATGCCCCTGTTCAATGCCTGTTGAAACACAGAAAGAGCAAATGATGTAGTGTATGTGGAATGGGTACCAAACACTTTCTCCTGCATCTGGTTTCTGAAGGAACAAGAAAGTTTAGCTGTCATTGTTTTCACCCAAAGCTAGACTTTATTTATCTGGATTCAGCAGCAATAACTTGTGACCTGTGGCACAGGCAAAATAATTCAATATAGACTAAATTCAAGTCAAGTAGACTCAAAGATAAGGTAAGTATTTACTTCTGAAGTATATAATGGAACTTCTGCCATACCAGAAGTCAGTCTCTTTCCTTTTTAGAGTAATTTAATGACTTGCTAATAGTCATGGATAATACAAACCACTGAAATATTGCTCTGAAGTTTCAGCCATGATTTCATCAGAGCATAATCCTTGCAGCTGATCTTCACAGGCAAAAGTTCTAACATACACTCAAAGTTGAGGAGCTATAAAAATTTTTCTGTGTAACAAACTTATCAGAACATCCCATGTAATTGTTGCAAATAGCTGATATTAGTCTATGAATTTCATTGTTTAATGAGGTCAAATATGCACACGATTAAACATAACTGATCTCCTTTCATGTAGCTGACATATAAATATTTGTGTATATAAAAATTTGTGTTTGCATTTGATACCATATTCATTTATATCCTCTTGTAGGACATTTAAAAATAACTACAGCACATATCTTTCAAGACATTTTCAGGAGCAGCTAACTTACTAATTTATTCTAGGTCTGTGTTTAGGAAATTAGGAAATTCTGCCAATTAATCACTGAGAATTAGATGGATTATTTTTATAACTAAGGTAGATGTGAAAAAGATGTGCAACATTCCTTCAGATTCCAGCTTGAACCAAAATGCTTCTGAAGTATTGAATAAAAATGACAGAATGATAAATTTTATCTGCAGTGTGACAACATCAATCATCTGGATGAAATATGATTTGTTTTAACAAGTATTTCATTCCTATGGGTTACAACTGATGTGTGTTTACAGGGCCGTGGCAGTGAGGCCAACCAGGAACATCTCATCAAGCTACCAACCAAACCTCACTGACACACAGTTCAAATACCCCTTTATCTGAATGAACAAACTAGCTAGAGTATCATCAGGTAATTGTGGCAAAGTCCTTCAATTTCAAATGTAAGCATAAGCTTTTTATTGCAGTTATTTGACTTTGTCCTTCCAAAGATCATACAAGCAAGCAACTCCTATTGACTTGAAAAGAACCTGCATCCCTGCAGTAGAAATGAGACTTTTCCTACTGTTCTTTTCCACTCCTTCTATAAGGCATTCTTAATTTTTGAAACTAAATCTGCATTATCAACAGAGCAAAAAACTGTAGAAAATACCAACTTCTCCACCTTTGATAACTGCCAAATCTCTCTTTTAATGTGCTCTGACCTGGATGCCTGAAGCTCCAAATGTTTTCATCTGTTTTGCTCTAGTTTGTTCCTTCCTGAAAACACCATTTGTTAGATATGGAATAACCGCAGCTGCTATGTGTAACTTTTCCTCGGATATAGGTAATTCCATATAATTTGATATCAGTTCAGATTATATTAAATCTGCTGATGCCAAAAGCACTAGTGTGTGCACAAAAGTGTATTCAAACAATTTGTGAAAGACTGTGGCCTCTGAAATGAATAGTCAAGTGTAGTTGTCTTTTGTGATGATACTGGTGATGTAATCAGTTGAAGTAATCAGTTTCAAGGTGTATACAGAGTTACAACCTTCTAATCTGAATTTGCTAAAAAGATGCCTAATCTCCTAATTGCTGTTGCCAGTAATAGACAAATAACCTTAAATTATGCCAAATAAAATGTTCCTTTATCATGGCTCTTCCCTTCTTTTTTCTTCTGTCAAGAATTAAATATTTCTGGCAGCTTCAATTTAAAGAGAAACAGCTAACCAATATCAGGCAGGAAACTTTAAAAACTTCTCATCACATGTTAAACAGCTGAATTATTTTCAGCAGTTTCACAAGCACAAGTGCTTCCTTCCTGCTTTGTACAACTACAGAATACCAGAGTCTGTGGAGGATGGTAATCCACTTCTGACAAGGTCATGGGATAAACATGGCTCTAAGAAATGATGCTTTGTCAAAAGGCATAGCACTATGATCCCTCTGCAGAGAGAACTCTGCCTAGCACAGACCTCATGCCATTGAAAACAGCTCCATATGACTCTGGCCCCCGGGTAACTAAGTTTTTCCATCTAAAGTAGGACAGACAGAAAGACTTGATCACTCCTCTTTCTCTCGTTCTCTGGTTTTACTGATCTCTTTTGAATGAACAAATGACAGCCAAGTAGATAGCTTCTGAGTAATCTTCCCTGGAGACACCCTGTGTACCAGGTAAGGTAAACTGGCAAAATCCAAAAGGGACTTCTGTAAGAGATACGCCGCTATTAATTTTATTACTGTGGAACGTGTGGCTGACATGATGAAATACTCTAGAGGCTAGCCCTGAAAAAGCAATCCTTTTAAATACTTCTTTGGAAAGATCCTTAGGAAAGGAACAGTCAATAGGGCTCTGTTTGGGGATGGTTTAGCTTCTGCAGCCGCTTCCTTTTTCACTTTAAGATGTCAATAAAAAACTCTTCATCCTCAGTTTTCAAACTCCGTATGAAAACTTGCATAGCTTTTCTACCCTATGTATTTCCAAATATTTCTGCTGCTGAAGCTGTTGATGTCATATTTGATATTCTAAAATCCACAATAAATCCCAGATAACTGATAAAGCTGCTTTGGTGTGCAGCATGAAAGACACAGACACTTGATCTTTCATGGCACGCCAGCCATGCAGTTAGCAATCTTCCAGTCCAATTTCCTGTTAGGTTTCCAATTAAATCTGTCATAAAGGAAGTCAATATAAACCAGGGCAAGGCCTCCATTTTTTAATATGACTCGATTTTGAACCCTTTTTGTGTGAACAGAAATCAATAAAGAAAGCTCATCGGTAGTATCTGTATCACAAGAAAGCATACGTCTACAAAGATTTGTATAACTTGTCGATGAAGTCACACAAAACTAGGTAGCAATAATACTAATGACAATATTGAACACAGCATGTTAGCTTGATCATACACACTTCAGGTGTCATCCTACTTTGAACTGGCTTATTCATACCCTATTTGATGGGATAATTTGGCAATCCAGATGCTGGCAGACAGATGTTGATGACATCACCTTCACCTGAGTTCTTAATGAACCATTAATCTAATATAGTAGCAGGTGAAAATGTCATAGTAAAGTGCAGTTCATCAAATGTGATTAAAACAAAGCCATAGATATTGCTGACCCTTCTTCTAGGAATAACGGAAAAAAACCCCACGGAATACTTCTAGGCAGAGTCCAGTCTGGTAGACACAGGTTAGCTGAAATAAGTCATAGTCCTAAAACGCTTCTCAAAAAGGCAGGCACCAAGATATACAGTTACTTCTATGCATTGTCTTCTGTAACACATTTGTTACCATTAGAAAGAGGAAATATTTGCTAGAGGACCACTAAACCTTTTTTTAATGAATAATTGTGTGCTGTCTTTAATGTTCACTAAAATCAGAGAGGACCAGCATTTTTAAATTCCCATCCAAAAGATTCAAGTCAGAGGATTATCAAAGACACTTAACAACACTGGAAGCCAGTAACCACATCTTTACAATTGGGTACTGCAGCTGGCTTTAGCCTCTTAGAAGGAACCTATAAGACCTTTATCAAATTTCTAGGACATGCATAATGGATGAATCCAAAAGGTGTTTGCATGCAAAGGCAGTGAGTTGAAAAGCAACAGTCGTGAGAAAAATGTCAAAGGTCTAGCTTGTCCTATTTTGCATGAACTTTTAGCACTATTCACTAATGTTGGCAGAAAAGGTGTGGTTCCAATCTATGGCTACACATCTCTATTGCCAAAAATTCAAAGGCTGTCTCTTAAACTGGCTCGATAGAGTTTGACCATAACTCACATGATCCTTTCTTCCCAGAGACTACTGGATATTTTACTTTGTATTGATTTAAAAGTATTAAAAATTTTTATAAATCCACCAGGAAAGCAACATCTATTGTACAAGTTTTCTTCTGCTTTTAAAACTGATTATTACGTACACACTACCTACATTTCACTAACTATGCAACATTTTCTACTTCATTTGAAGTTAAATACAGATTGTACAGTCAATATTTTACCCCAGTGCACATGTTTTAAACAGGAGGATGTAAAATCCAAGAATTTTGGTCAAAACTCAATTTTGCTTATCCCAGAAAAGCAGACTGTGACATACAGGAAGCTGGCATGTTCCTACAGCTCGTTTGAAATTGGGATTCTGCCTGAGATGTTTTCAAGTCTGTTCAGGCTAGTTATCTACTTACAGGTGACATAAAAAACCTGCTCAATTTGGCAGTATCTTGGCCAAATGTATGTTTGGTTCAGCAAACATTTGTAATGTGTTACTCTTCCCTTTACAAATCTTTCTTCCTACATGGTATTCCCTGAGAAAACAGAAGAGAACCAAAGTATCCAGTTAAAGAGCAAGCTGATGTAGGGGACAGTCTATCTCCTGTGTCAAATAATCTCTCTCCTCATGACTCTTGGCTGAGTTTTCATTTACCAAATCCTGTCACATTGAAATCTTCTTCATCAAATGTACCAGCTGGCTCTGGCTGTTCTGCCTTCCCCCAGTCACTGCAGGGGCTGTGCTGCCAGAAGGATGGACACCTGACAGATCTGGTGCTCTGAAAGCATGCCATCATTGGATCACTGTGGAGGTGTTACCTGAGCAC